ATTTCATTTATATAGCAAACAACACGATATATTGTAAAAATCTAATATTAATTGCAAATATAAACACTGAAAAATATATTTAAAGCAACAAAACCACACTTGAAAAGCATTTATTAATTGACAAAAATAAAAGTTAAATAATAATGAATATCATATGAAAACTAAAAAATTACTTTCATAAAATTAATAGTCAAAAAACGAGAAGCTATTAATGAAAAATATAAATATATAATTATATAACTTTAATAGTTATAAAAATATTATAATTTCTAAAATAAATAATTGTATGCATAAAACATTAAATATTAGTATTTTATATATATATATATATATACTTATTACGGTATATAAAATAAAATACTAAAAAATATTAAAGACATAAAATAATAATTATGGTGTAAATATAGTTTGTTAAGAAATGATAGAAATGGTAATAATTCACAAATTAAACTCTTGTTATTAGTGGTCACCAGTTATTGCATTACTAAATATAGAGTACAATCAGAAACCAGCCATTTCTGGACTCATATATCTTCCGGTTTGCAATCGACTCTTTCCTTCCTGTTGTCCGGTTATACAGTTATAGACACACTACTGGACATACAAGAAATGGTATGTCGGTCACATATATACTTAAATATTATATATATATATATATATATATAGTTATTTGATCAAAAAGAGGAAAATAGTAATGTTATTAAGTTTGTTGCAAAACTTTGCTTCCCATTCCTGTAGATATAACTCATTAAATAAAAAGAAAAGTTTTATATAACATTACATAACATAACATACTATATATGGATAGCTTTCTTATTAAATATAATGTCATTTTTCATCAGACAATGAATCCCCAGACGTATACCCATAGAGAAGTAAAAAGAGCACTCATTTTATATTATATTTAAGACTCATCACTATATTGAATATATGATAGTATATGTACTGTTATAAAAAAGGGACAACCATTGTATGGATGAGCCAATAATATATATACGGTATTAAGAAATTTTTAAAAAACTTTGGAGCGAAAAAGTGATTATATATATTTGCAATTATATATAGTTAATGCAATTTTATTTTTAACACTTTATGTTAGAGAAAAAACAATTATTTTTGTTTTTATTGACTTTTATATAATATATTACAAACAATAAAATAACTTTTTGTGAGTAACCTTTCAATTCAAGTCGTAAACCATAACCACCGCTACCACACTGTAATCAACTACAAACATGACCATCAATACCACCAATAGTACGACTAGAACCAGCATTTTTGTAGTTATGGTCTAAATTATTATTAGTTTAACAGTTTTTTACACATCTAACTATCCCTACAAAAGTAGTCTAAAAATGAGTAATTTTGCAATAAAAATATTGGAAATATTTTTTTAAATAAATGTTTAAACTAAAATATGTATTCAAACCAAATTGAAACACCTGCACTGGCAAAACACATACAACATAAATACGGTGTGCCAGTGATGTAGTCATGTTTAAAGCAGTGGTTTTTTTCGCAGTCAGTTGTCAATCAAAAATATAAGGAAATCTAATATTTTCTTTACTGGCATTTAGTTGTTTTTCTCTATATAACGTTTTTGTGTTACGCCTATAACTCATAATTATATACTTTCCTTCAAATGTGTGTGTCTGTCCTTTTATTTTGTTAAGAGAGAAAATTATAACTTAAATTATTAGAGACAGATATACTGTAGTTTATGACCAAAATAAATTGGACTAAAGCGTGAAACAATAGTTTATATATAAAAGATAAACCAAAAAATATATATTTTTTAAAATGTGATAACACATCAAAATAGTTTAGAAATATCTCATTATAATGTATAATTTAATTATATATATATATATATATATATAGTATAATTAGTCATTTAAATAAGTGATAATATAATGCATAGGAAACCTAAACAATTTTTTAGTGCCAATACTGACATTGCCTATAAAATAATATTTAAAACACATATTTGCAATCAGTAGGTATGCAATCAGTTAATTATAAATAAGTTGATTGACTCCATCAGTTGATCCTTTAATTTAAGAAATAGCAGGTTTTGAAAAGGGATTGTAATGTGCAAAGAGCTGTTGGTCTGTTGGCAATGCAAACCAAACCAAGAATGCCATTAATACTGATAATTAGCTCAGCAGGAGATGGATATACAAAAAAGTAATGTATATTTCAATATAAATTATTTCTTACAAATGTTTAAATCATGCATTCAATGCAAATACAGTACACAAACTCTTTTTAGTCAATTATATCACAATATATATGAAAGCAAACAACGAGTTTATGTATTACAGTATTCACAGCAAAGTCCAAACTCTAGACACTATAGAGTATATCAACAAAAAATCCCTTTCAATACAAATCTATCACTCGATAACCTTTGGTTGACATCAAAGTAGTATTTACACCAAAAACAAAAATATTTGCAATTAATATATTTCGATGGATATCATATAAATAGCTATTAAAATTCATGCGTTGTGTCGATAATGAGAAACAGATATTACATTAAATTAAAAAAATAAATGCATTTTCTCTCAATTAAATATATTGTAGCAATCGATTGCTAAACGATAAGAAAGTTAATTAATTTTAATTACAAATTTTTATGAGAGATAAACACCAAGAAAACATATTAATTGGATATAAGAAACAAAAATATATTCAAATAAATTACATGAGAATTCAGTTATATTTTGATAGTAAGCTTATGAAGTAATATATATACATTTTTAATATTTATATTATAAATCAAGTAATCATAATTTCATGAATAACTAATAAGTAATCATAAATTTAATGCATAATAATTGGTTAAATGCAAAAAAATACATGAAAACAAAATTATGATTCCTATCAGCAAAATATTTGCTCATCAGTTAAAGTGGTCATAATTTCATTGCATTATAATTTCATGTATTGTATTTCAAAATCGTTGTTGGTTTTACTATTATTGGCATATAATATACTATATTCTAAACAAAAATTATATAAAAATTATTTTCAAACATAAAACAGTGAAATGTGTTGAATATTTAAATAGTAGAGAGAATCAAAAACATAGCATAACTTATTAAAGGATAAAAATCTCATTATATTATGCAATAAACGGATTATTCAATTGATTTTAATATATAACTGTATATAAAAACCAACATTTAATGCATTTTATGAATAACATGAATATTCAGTTTTAATAATACAGGTATTATTGTAGTTAGTAATATTAAATGCTATAAATATTATTTACTAATAGTTATAATTTCTCTATTAAAATTATATAAAAGTTAACATTAAACACAAATAATTATTTTATAAAATGTAAAGATTTATAAATTTACAAAATGAGAGCAAAATTAAATTTTTGTCAATCAATCAAATAAGTTTTAATGCAATATTGATTTAGAAGTAGAGATCAATTACCAATAAAACAACAAATAGAATGAAAGAGAAAAAGAAAGAAATAAAAGAAAGAAAGAAAGAGAAAGAAAGAGAGAGAGTGAGTGAGTGAGTGAGTGAGTGAGTGAGAGAGAGAGAGAGAGAGAGAGAGAGAGAGAGAGAGGGATCAGTTCATTCAATCAAATATACACTGATTTAGTTACACATCCAATACACAGTTGTATTTAAAGGATGCATCGTTCAGTTACTGTTAGATTGATTTTTACTAAAATTTAATAAAGATTTATATCACTATTCTTAATAAACTTGAATTAACTTCAAAATTTTAATACTAAAATGAGACAAAACAGCAATTTATAAATATAACATTAAATATTTATATGACTCTTCATTAGACTGCATAAATACATTAAATGTTTTATATACTGTATATATATTTATACACTATAACATGTATTAAAAGATTATATAAAAACGTGTTTAATATGCATATATAATATAAGATTTAGCGCCAAATTAAAAGGATGTTATTATTGTTATATAATTTTACAGACAATGAATTTTGCCTCAGTTAAGACAAAATTAAAAATAAATTTAGTCAACAAATTATTATTATTATTTTTTTACATAATATATATTACTGACTATAATCATAAGCCAGAAAACACGATAAATTATAATGCAATAAATGGCTATTTTTTCAGTGTAAAGCATAAAAACAACAAAACATTATAAATTAAAACAAATGCTAAAAAACATTTGTGTAGTGCAAACATTGAATTAACAAAAGTAAATATATATAATTTTGACGGTAATCAAGCAAATAATGATAAATAATATCTATAATATTGGAAAAGCGTATGTATTGTCTCATCAGTGCACAGTTGGTGGTGAACTTTCATTAGTTAAATAGCCAGTGTTTGTGTCTGTATGTATGGTATGGCGTGTGTGTCGTAGGATTGATAGTAAAATACTAGACCTTTAATCACAGTTAGGACTCTAAGTACGGGAGGTTTAATCGCGACATTGCATGCAATTGCAATTGAAATGATACGATGAAAGACACAAAAGTATAACAAAAAGTTTGGCATAAAATTGCAGTTTTTTTGCGTAAAAGCAAAGCATTGTCTGTATTGCTATTTCTTTGGTCATTATTGTCGACAAGAAATGAGTGCCATCAACAATGGTTAGACCCATATATTATTAGCTCCATAGCTGCCAGAGATCTGACTAACCTCTCACTGCTTTCAATTTAGTATTAGTTTCAATGTCTGACACTAACTATTGAAATGTTTGTTTCATTTGGAAAGCACTTCACTATTTGCTTAGCCGTTTTGATTGGGTTTTTGATGTTTAATGAAAACATTGGTAAAGTGATTGTGAACTGCAATATAGGAAATTGGAAGCCAAGGGTTTGACAAAAGGGATGAAAATATATTGAGAATCTCAACGTTTATATGAGGATTGGTTTTGCCAACAATTTTGACTCCACAAACAATTTAGTCATGAGATGACATTACAAAGCACTCTATATATATTATATATGAGATGATAGACTGTAAATGACTTACCAATTATTAACTTGAAGTATAGTCAGTCCTGTGTCCTGAGCCAACTGTTTCTTTTGGTCTTCACTTGGATAGGGATGCTATGAAAACAAACCATTTATAATCAATGTTGTCACTCATATGTATCAAAATTTATTATATACTATATATACTATATATTACTATATAAATAATAGAAATATTTTTAATAAAAATTCTATATTAAATCAAATGTGACACTAAATAATGGAAAACTTGTTATTTTTGTAGGTATTAAACGATAACATTGACTGATAAGTTATTGAAATCGGAGAATAACAATAAGTCTTATAAAATTATAATAACATAATATTTAAAAATGAAATACATATGAAAGGAAAATGTGTAACAAAAAAATGTTTGTAAGTGTCAAGCCTTCAACTCAACTAAATGTTTATTTGTATAAAATCATAGACAAGAGTGTCAGTCGTCAAATGCAAAGAGTTATGATAAGCAAAACTCAACAGTCTTTGTGTTAGTTTGTCTATTCATTGAATCCCCCTTTCATTTGATCATTTCATAGATGTATGACTGTCCTCAACATCACTAACTTTCCCCATTAACGTGTCAACTCTCTCACTCTCTTATCGCAAAAACAGAAATTTAATCAAAAATGTTTGTTTGATATATCCATCAAATAAGCAAAATATATGAATAAAAGGAGTATGTCTTTTGAGTTATCAAAATATACAAAATCTATGTAATATGAAATTAAATATGCCATCATTTATTAAAATTATTTATTATAAAAATATTTTATATAGGCTAAATTTATTTATAATTTATATTTTATCTATTTATATTTACTTAAGTGTTATGCAAAAAAATAGAAATAAATATAATTTTGTATAACTTGAACATATCTATCTATCTATATGTTTATAATATATTACTTACAGTCAAGTGTTGGAAAAGCCAGGCTCTCATGATATTTGTGGCAACTTTTGGGAAAATTCCTCTTTTCTTTTGTCTCTTTTTGCTTCGGTCGTCGTCATCATCTTCACCGGTTCCATCACCCGATCCAATACTGGCGTCACCCATGAATGATCCTATTTTTAAATATATAAAACATCTCATCAATATTTAACTCATTGTAGTCGCTTTAAATGTATAATTTAATAAATATTTTGTGTTATGAGTTATATGTATATGTTAAGAGAGAGAGAGAGAGAGAGAGAGAGAGAGAGAGAGAGAGAGAGAGAGAGAGAGAGAGAGAGAGAGAGAGAGAGAGAGAGAGAGAGAGAGAGAGAGAGAGAGAGAGAGAGAGAGAGAGAGAGAGAGAGAGAGAGAGAGAGAGAGAGAGAGAGAGAGAGATAGAGATAGATAGGCAATATCATAAAAATGTAATCGTTATAATGAGTGAGTCTATGTTGAAGTGCACATCCAGGGAGAGGGCATGAATTGGGTATTCAGTGTTAGCTAACAAAAGGACAGTTTATTCATCAGATGATCAACTAATGTATTGTCAATTTGAGATAAGTTTTTTTCATGTTTTATATATATATATATATATATATTTGGCAAATATATATAAAATACACAAAAATATTAAATGTAACTTTCAAACACTGGGTCTAATGTATTGTGCAATAAATGGCTAAATTTGTTTGTTGTGCGCGCTTTATGTGCCACTTTTGATTGGATTATTTACGGACAATTGCGTCCAAAAAATGCACGTTTAAGTCCCAAAATGCACTGTCAGGTAATATATATACAATAAAGCTAAAAGAAAATCAGCTTAGCTTATGTATACAGTATAATATGCCGATTCAAATGCCGGTGCTGTCAAACTGTGTCTCTTTTTTCTCCCTTCTGTAAACTTGATGGTGAATATTACATTAGTGCACAAAAATGCCCTCTTTTTAGATGATAGTGTAGTAGACTGTGTACAGTCATTCAATCGATGGCAGCTTTAGAGCGCCAACAGTATTGTCACGAATGCCGGGGTATTGTTGGCCTCACAAATGGTACACATTTTTTTCAGCCAATAACCTATGTATACCCTATGCATCTATGCATTCATCTAACCGTCCATTTAAAACATGATATGATATATTCAATATATCCAACTATTGCTCATTTGTCCGTCAATTGGGGTCCCATTTCATTGAAAGAGTCAGTTATAGTGTAGAAAAGGCAAATAAGAGAGAGAGAGAGAGAGAGAGAGAGAGAGAGAGAGAGAGAGAGAGAGAGAGGAAATTAGTGAATTCACTTTTCATTCATTTCTTTTAATATTTGTTAGTACTGTATATTTGGTGACCAAAGCTTATATGACTGACTCTTCAATATAATATACAATAGTTATTATAGAGGTATTAGGGTTTTAGGTTATACTGTCATTGATGATAGTATTTTGTTGTTTCAATTGTACGGCTCTTGAAGTACACTATTAGTGTTTATAGTGTAGTATTGGTGTTATGTTATGTATTGTACCGTATTATATGCCACATCTACTCTTTCATAGTCAATACTCGGTGTGATAGTACACAAGGGATTCACTGTAAAAGTCGTAATCTAAGTCTCCTCTGATGTAATCGTATGGACTATTATGATGAGAGAGTGTGTGTGTGTGTGTGTGTGTGAGAGAGAGAGAGAGAGAGAGAGAGAGAGAGAGAGAGATGTTATACTAGTATATCATTATATCCACTGTTAATGATCATCTTTGCGGCTTTCAATGATAAACAGTCACACATATATTGTTATGTATTTATATTATATCTCATTGATGTGTAATTCATGTAAACCTACTGTCAATTGAATGACGAGTGCTTTTGAAAAGCAATTTAAATAAAAATAATATTTGTTTTGTAATTCATTACTTTGTTTTATGACTGTTTGCATTAGACTAGTGTTCAGAACAACACATTAATTGATTAATTATTAAATTTAGTTATCAAATAAATGCATTAACCGATTTAATATCCTAATAACCCAATATTATATTACATTTGTGTCTCCTTTATTGCTATTCAATTGAGTTATTGTAATAAAACTTATTTATTATTATCATAGTTATTAAATTTGAGTCTTTTAAATGCATACATTATGCGGTAAAACAAAAGAAAACTTTTTAAAATACATTTGTTATTAAATAATATTTACTATATGTATAACAAATGATATATCATTTTTGTTTGTCAGTCAACGTATATTTTGATATATATGTGTTAAAACTCTTTTAAAAAGTATTTGTTTTTAATAATAGTTACATTTTAACAAATATCAAAATAAGTCAAAGTCTAGTCGGAAATTATCTAAATGGCAGATAAATATCAAACACATTATAATTAGATATAAAAATACTTTTGTGCCAAAATAAATGCCGTTTAAATAAATGATATAATAATAAGGAAAGGTAGAAAAGGGTCTGTCAACTTATAGTCAGCTAAAATACAAAGTTTTATATCATATATTTATTATTTAAATGAAGTGCAATAAAAAGCTTTTGCATGACTGCATGCATACACTGTACAGTATATACACTGTAAATATAATGTGTATATTGTACTGTATATGTGATAAAACAGTAAACGTAAAACGATTGCATGAATTAAAATATTGTTAATAATATACTAATAACTTAATATAAAATATAAAGATAGTAAAAGTCATTTGTTTAACAATTATAATTTTAAGACAAAAACTACACATTTTATAGATTACTAATTTTGTTCACATACTTTATAGCCTTAGTTTATATTTACTATAAAACCAATGGACATGAGTAGACATTAAACAGTGGCCTATACTCTATAACTTTAGTGTATATATCATACAAACGTTACAATTATTGTGATTTAGTTGTGCGCCGACCTTTCCATATAGACTGATCATTAATCTTACTTTATTGACATCATATACAAAAATAATATAAAATTGCATAAAACAATTGATGTGCTTAATCAATGCAAACATAGACAATGTAATTTTATTACTTAATATTATTGATAAAATTGAAAATTTCAATTATATCTGAGATAAAAGCATTTTATATTTAAGTCCTAATTTTACTTAACTTTCTTCAAACTAAAGAATTTTTGGTCTGTATTGTCAATGATATGTTTGGAAAGCAATGAAAGAAAAGAGTTTTCTTATAGTATGTCACTGACAGGCAATACATCCAAACAATTGGATTGCTTGGTTGGACAGAGATATACTTTATGTATAATATGGTAATGGATGCAAACCTACATTAAAATATATGGGGCTTATGTTTGCCATTGATATTCACTTTTTTATATACCATAAGAACATATAACTTATAATATATACGAAATATAGTAAAATAGTATATGTGTGGTGTTTCACGAGCCCAGTCTAGCGATAATGTGTGTGTGTGTGTGTATGTGTGTGTGTGTGTGTGTGTGTGTATGTGTGTGTCTGTATGTGTGTGTGTATGTGTGTGTGTATGTGTGTATTTGTGTATGTGTGTATGTGTGTATGTGTGTATGTGTGTATGTGTGTATGTGTGTATGTGTGTGTGTGTGTGTGTGTGTGTGTGTGTGTGTGTGTGTGTGTGTGTGTGTGTGTGTGTGTGTGTGTACGGTGTGCACTGTTGTGTGCTCTATGTAAGTGTGTATGTGTTTGCCTAACAAATACTTATTTCCATTACTCTATCAATATATATATATACATCTTTTAGGCATTGCATGGATGAAGTTGGAAATGAATGCAACATCAATCATGCTCATATAGCTCATATGCTCATATATACCCATACAGCACATACAGCACATACAGCACATACAGCACATACAGCACATACAGCACATACAACATATACATAGAAATGCCTGTTCCCATAGTAACTCAACTACAACCACAATATAAAGTATAGCAATATATTGTTCAATAGATGTATAATAAGTTGAATATTAGGATATTTCTTGATTGACTTCATACAAGCAATAAATACTTTATTACATATATTTTTAAAATCAATATATATATATATATATTATTTATTTTTTGGTAATTAGATACATCTACTTATAAGTTATAACTACAATATTTGTCTACATTGTGTACATTGAATGTATGATCTATTCAATTGCTTGACTTTTAGCTAAATTAAATCCAATAGTTCTCACACTTATATATAAACTATATATACTTTTCATAGTCGACTAACTTTTATACTCGTCATCTAATAATATATACTGAAATTATGTATATAATATAATACTGTATATCAAATTGTCTGTCATTTATTATATCACATAAAGTCTGGTTTCATGTATACACACATTCATAGAATTAGAGTTAAGTTTTGTTTGGATGCAAATTGTGATAAAAATAGTGACAAAAATGTGTTTAAAAACATGTATTCAATATTAAATGACAACAATATGGGTGAGGGATAACAAACTTGCTGTGAGTTTTAAATATTTGAAGCCTTTATCGAAACACAAGAAACACTATCTCGGGATTAATATAAACTAACGGTTCTGTAATCATAAGCATATATATATACTGTATATATAAAGAGAGAGAGAGAGAGAGAGAGAGAGAGAGAGAGAGAGAGAGAGAGCGACTCATTGAATGATTTATACATTAATCTTTTGTACCACTTTTCGGTCTCATATTTGCAATAAGTTTTAGCTATAAGACTAATACTCAATAGCACTGTTATGTTGTGTATTTGGTCGAGCAAACAGTACAAACATGTCAGTACAGGCCATGTCTATGTCTGTCTCCGAGTGCACGCAATTGTTGTTTCAATTCGTAAATCCTATGGCTTATGAAACAGTCAAATCCTGCGCACAGCTATACATACAATATTAGACAACTCGAGTATTACGCCATATAAATGGTTGCAAATATTTAGAGAAAGTTAGAGAGAGAGAGAGAGAGAGAGAGAGAGAGAGAGAGAGAGAGAGAGAGAGAGAGAGAGAGAGAGAGAGAGAGAGAGAGAGAGAGAGAGAGAGAGAGAGAGAGAGAGAGAGAGAGAGAGAGAGAAAGAGAGAGAGAGAGAGCACATGGAAAATATAATGTAAGGCCTCCACAACTTCCACCACTTCTTCCATCTTTGCATTAGAAACCCAAAGGA